TTGGGTCATCTGTACCAACTTCCCCCACCCAATGCTCAATGAGCATCTCAGTGTAAGAGCCAGAAGGCAGGGAAGAGAATTGTGAAACACTGTCTTCTGGGCATGATATGGCTGGTGAATATATCCACTCTCAATAGCTGTGGTTGCCTGCACATGATCAAAGCAGAAAAGTTTCAAGCATGGATGGGGAAGGAGTTCCTGAAACACCATCCAAACTGAAATGCTATTGGCAGTTGTTGGCTGCTGAGGGAGGTGGATGCTAGGTCACCCATGCACCAAATGATGATCTCACAGCCATACATATGCAACATACAACCAATACTAGCTGGACTCAGTGGGCTATTTGAAATTATAATAATCACAGAAGACATGAATTCAAAAGCAAGATGGGTTGGTGGGTTCTGGAGAGAATTGGAAGGAAACAAGAGGAGGTAGATGAGATTAAATACGTTGCATACATCTTTGAAACTTTCAAATGATAAATTTTTAAGTACTGTAATCATATCTGTGGGCACAAAATACTATGTACATAAAAATCCTAATAAATTCTGACATGAAAGCAATACATAATAGAAATAAATATAATATATGTAAATTGATTTTAGATCACACTTTCAAATAACTACTCATTTAAAGAATAAATGATTTAGGACATTTTTGCAAACTTTAACTAAGCGTTATTATTGACAGTGCTATATAACAACAAACAGATACATTATACTCATTTAAATATCTCCATCAAAAATGTTAAAACGAGGGGACAAGAAATCTCAGTTGACAAAATTATTCCTGCATAGACCTAAGTACCTGGATTTGGATACTCAGCTTCCACACAATGGCTGGGGCACTGGTATGCACATGCAATCTCAGAACTGGGGTAGTAGAGACAGGAAGAGCTCTCTGGCAGTTCTAGCTGAAGTGGTGAGTTCTAAATTTACTGTGCAATCCCATCTCAATAATAAGGAGAAGGACAACTGGTGAATATATCTGGAATTGACCTCTTATGTTCATATGCATGTACACACACACACACACACACACACACACACACACACACAAAGGCACACACATACATACACAGGTAAGTACACACACACACACACACACAAAATGAAGAAGCAAACGAATAAATGTGGGTGACGAAATAAAGAAATTGGAAATGGTTCACTGTAGAGGGAAGTATTTAATGTTATTGTCACTAAAGGAAAATAGTATAGTAGTTCCTCAAAAAATAAAAATAAGATTTCCATATGACACAGCACTCCTAATTTTGGACATACACTCCAAAGAATTGAAAGCAATTTGCATACCATATTGAGAACATCACTGTTCACAGGAGTTGAAACATAGAAGTGTCCCATGTAACCCAAGTTGAATGGATATATGAGTAGAATCTATCTATACATATGATGAGGTATTATGTCTGAGACATATTAAAACATTGAAGAAACTACCGGAAATCATGCTAAGAAAAATAACCGAATCATGCAAAGCAAATATTACATAATACCATTTATATAAAACTACTCAAACACTCTTTTTTGATACCTAGAGTATTCAAAATCATAAAGAGAAATGATGGCACAGTGGCTGCTATGGGTTAGGGGAGAGGAGAATGGAGTCATTGGAGGAGTTTCCATCTTAGAAAGTGGAATACTTCTGTAGCGGCGCTGCTTACGGAACGTTGTAACTGTAATGGTAGCAATAGTAAACTTTATGTTATGTATACCTTCCCTTATCTTGTAAAACTGGGGAAAACCACACACGGCATCATGTCAAGTAGTAGTCAAGTAGTACTCTGTAGGATATTTGTAAAATTAAAAGCTAAGCAAGTAAGCTATTTACCCTACTTTACTTCTAGAAATGTAAAACTAAACAGGAAACTAGAACAAAGCAATAAATGAAGGCAGAAATTAATGAAATAGATTATTGGTGTGATGACATGAAAAAGAAAAGCAACAGATTTGTTCTAAGTCTCAGGAATTCAGACTCCTCCCCTTTTTTTCAAGGCAGGGTTTCTCTGTGTAGCTTTGGAGCCTGTCCTGGAACTCCCCCTGAAGACCACCAGGCTGGCCTCAAACTCAGAGATCCTACTGCCTCTGCCTTCGAAGTGCTGGGGTTAAAGGCATGCGCCTCAACTGCTTGACAAATTAGAAACTTGCAATGAAATTCTTCACGTCAGAAACTGAAAATGCACACAGGAAACTTTTGAAAACGAAAATGAATTTAAACTAAATTTGCCTCAAAGACTACAAAGAGCGGAAGTACACCTTGATGACAGTTTCCTACACGTAGTGGGCCAATCTCTAGAAAAATGTAACAAGATGACTCAAGGAGAATATCCCCAAAATTCAAACATTCGTTAACTGAACGATTAGGTTAAAACTGTGCTTCCAAAAGAAAGCATCGTGTGTGGTAACTCCTCCTTAGTAACCACTGCATTAAAGGACGCCTCTTCCTTAGTAACCACCTCGTTAAAGGATGTCTCTGAACTTAGCAAATTTTTGGAGCCAAGAAAATAATAAATACTATTCTGCTCAGTTTATGAAGTCAACTTCCCCCAAACATGTGACAAGACAAAGATGGCAAACCAAGAGAATAATCTAATCTCAATCATCTTATAGGAAGAGAAGAAGGAGGGGGAGCGGGGAAAAAAGAAGGGGGCTTGACAATGTGTAAAATGTTATTTTGTAGAGACATAGGTTGAGCCTTTCAGGTATATCACTTAGCATTAGAACTCATTTAAAATAATTAATAAATAAATTGAGAGATAAGAAATATGAATATTCTAGAATTTAACAGTCGATAGTATTGCATAGAATAGTAGCAAATTAAGAAAAGCTAAACTGACAACAGTAAGGGTGAAAAACTCTAGAAAAATATTATGTTTAGCAAAGCTCTATTTAAAATCTCCCCTTTAAAATAAGTAACGATATATAATTTCTAGTATCACACTGTCTTCAGTGTTATGTCTGAGTTGGCGTTCAAGCATACAGGACCAGAAAAGGAAATCAAAGTACTCTTGGTGGATAGAGAAAATCACTGGTATTTGCAGATGATGTATTGGTTTTTAGAAAATGTAAAACAACTGACGAATTATTAGAGCTGATAATTAAGTCTTAAAAATATTGACTGTAAGATAAATATTGGAAAGTCTGGTATACTTTTGTATGCCCTATCCAAAATATTTATATGCCTTTCTGTGGAAAGCCAAAAGAAAGAGAAGACTTCTAAATATCAAACAAGATGATAATTAACAACATGAGATTAACAAATTGAAACAAAGAACATGGGACAATTGTGTGTGAAGACATAGTTAAGGTTTAGAGAAAACTGCCAAGCTGAAGAGAATTTTCTAGTCAACTACAAAAGACAGAAAGAACTTTCTTAAAGATGCAAGAACTACGCCCCATTAAGGAAGGGAAGGACCAATTGCTCTTTTAAGTAAGATGCCCTAGAGTTCCAAAAGAGAGTATCTGAAGAATTGATAACTGATGATGACTTCTGAGGGAGGGAGGGTATCTGTTTGCTTCAGGGATGCAGCCCTGATAGGCTTGCCATGTTACAGTGGGGGATCCTATACCTATGTACACAGTGGCAGCACTATATAGACATCCTATGTATGGCATGTACATATAGACATCCTATGCCTATGATCTCAGGGAGTTTAAAAAGAGTACATGAAATTTGGAAGGGAAAACTGTGGAACAGATAGGGAGGAGTCAGAGAGGGGGGACTTGATCAAAATGCATTATAGCCATGTATGAAATCCTCAGGCAGAACCAAGACAACGCCAGTATATGTAACATACCACTAGGATCTGGAGAGATGGCTCATCTGATTTAACAACAACCAAAAATAACAAATCACTAGCATTTTCCCTAAAACATGGGAAACACTCCCAACTTATAAACACTAACAGAGAAGTGGGGAAATTAGTTCACAGGCCCTTGCTAAAAGAGAAAATAAGGAAACGTGATTATTCTCATTAATAATCAGTAGAATTCCAATCAAAAGAACAGCAACGTTCACAGTTTTATTATCAGAACTGCAACACATTTGAAGACTGGTGAATCAATGGTGAAAGTCATGACAGTTTGGGAATACAGTGGTACTTTCTGCCCCTCAAATACGGGATGACTTTTGCATACAGATCTGGTTTATGGAACATGACTGGAACACAAGAGACAAGGACATGTGAAAGCCAAGTGGTTCTCAGCCCAAGTTAAAGTCCTAAAAGGCAAGATAAAATAGTCACACTGTAGCCATTCAGTGGTCATGAAATACATGCAGTGGCTGAACGCACATAGATCAAATTAAACCAAATACTGAACAGGACAAGAATGCACAGTTCACTGCCACCAGCTCAGAATAAAGGGAATGTATATTAAATAGTTATAAAATAAATATGAGGAGCTGGAGATGTGGCTCAGGGATAAAGAGCACTGACTACTCTTTTAGAGGACCTAGGTTTAATTCCCATTGATCACATGGCAGCTCACACCTATCTGTAACTCCAATTCCAGGTGATCCAACAGGTATATATGCAGGTAAAATACTACTACACATAGAGTTTTTAAAAATCATAAATATGGTCACTAATATAATTTTATTGCATTTATGGTTATAAGTAACATCTGTGTTTATCAAATGCTTTATTATGACCCTGAAGTCACAAAAATATTATTGAAATATTATTATGTAGGGCTGGAGAGTTGGCTCAGTGGTGAAAAGAACTGGTTGCTCTTGCGGAGGACCTGGATTTGATTCCCAGCACCCACATGGTGGCTCACAACCACAAGTAACTCCAGTTCCAAGGGATCCAATGCCTTCCGACCTCTGCAGATACCAGTCATGCATATGACACACATACACACAAGCAGGCAAAGCACTCATACACACAAAACAATAAAATAAATGAATCCAAAATGAATTAGAAATTATTTATAGTATATTATTGTGGGAGCTATTTAAAAAATAAAGCTCACGGCTCTTTTTCTTTCAGTGTATGTTGTGTCTTACTTTTACATTTCCTGTGACGTGATGATATAAAAGAGAGCTGCATGGATGGAGGCAATAACAAGTAGGTTTTTTTTTTCAACGAGGTTCAAAGTCTCTTCATACACCATGCTGGTTAATATCTCTGTCTTTTGTGCAAAGCTGCCTCAATTCCATGGGTGTTTACAAAGTGGCTCCAGTTTCTAAACCAGTTCGAGTAAAGTGATAGCTTGACAATGCTGGTGAGATTGCAAGGCGTTCCGGTCAGTTCTTCCTGCATTCTGAGAGCAGCATGGCTTGACCTTTTCTCCTGGCGTCATCCTACATGATTTCTTGCCTTGGACTAGAAGGATAGGCAAACATTCTTCTCTGGAAGCTGACATGGTTGGATCTTTCCCTGAAGCAGGTTACACTGCCAGTGCCCCAGGTTTACTGTCTAGAAACCATATCGAAGTAAAATCCACCAGGCAGCATGCTGTGAAGATGAAGCAAGGCAGATTACATCTCTAAAATGATCAGGCTGTTCTTGGCTGGAAAAGCCCTTGTTTGTATTCCTGTTCAGCCTGTCCCCATTCCTGCCTGTTACATTTGCTATCAGGAGGCAGAGTGAACCCCAAAGGTATCCACAGAACAGGTTCTGGGAATCTCCCATGCGGCCCGTCATTCCACCTGCAGCTGCTTTGTGATTGGCCCATGCTTGCTCTCCTTTCTTTAGCTCTGCCCCTGTGTCTGGTTTGCTCTTATCCAACCCCAGCTCCATCTCCTGGGCACTGATGCAAATCTTTGCACTCTGGCACTGGTACTGCCTAATAAGGTCACACTATAACTCTCCCACGCCAAAGTCACAATCAGACAACAGAATCATCCTTTCCCTGGCTCCCATTCACAATCTTCCAAACACTGGCGTTCGGATTCACTTCTGCCTGCCTGGTGATATACTGATTCGATACGATAGGATGGATTGATATATATTGACACACTGGTGTGGGAAGTCCTTCTGTATATGTGTTGCTTTCGTTGGTTAATGAATAAAGAAGCTGCTTTCAACCAATGGCTTAACAGAATATAGCCAGACTGAAAGAGATGTATAAAGAGAGAGTAGGCAGAGTCAAGGGGACGCCATGGGCCAGCATAGGAGAAAGACGCAAGCCCCCAGCCAGAACCTTGTGGATAAGCTACAACCACGTGGTGGTACACAAATTGATAGAAATGGGTTAACCAAGGATATAAGAGCTAGCTAGCAATACGCTGAAGTGATAGGTCAAGCAGTGATTTAATTAATACAGTTTCTGTGTGGTTATTTCAAGTCTGGGTGGTCGGAAACGAACAATCAATCTCCTACAACAACACACTTGAGTTTTTCTTATCTACATGACATAGAATGTTCAGTATTTATTAAGATGTGAAAAATAAAATTTTAAGTCTCCTGTAAGACCGGCTCCAAGAGACTTGACACCCACTTCTGACATCTGCGAGCACACAAGCATATGAGTATTGATGTACACTCATAAAGATAAACTCACGGAGACAAGTAAATACACAAAAAGAAAGTGGATATTAATTGTTCTCTCATCAAAAAATGCCACGTGGAATAGTAGACATTTCAGTTAGTTCAGCTGAATTACTTCACAATGTGGTGTGTTTGCTTAAACAATAGTTGTACCAATCAATAAACACAGTTTTTATTTTTTAATTAAAAATTAACTTCAAAGCTACAGAGAAACTCTGTCTCGAAAAACCAAAAAAAATGCAGAAATCTTTTCCAAAATATAGTATGAATATGCACCTCTTTCCTTAAAACCCTCGTTTATCAAACATACAGCTCACTGGGTTCTTTGCAGTGTCTCTGGTCTAGTTCTGCTTCCCACTAGTCCTTCGTTATCTTTTAAGAACCCCATACTTCTTTATTCATGCACTTTGTGTTCCAGACACACTAACCCACAAGAAAAGTTTCAAATTAGTCATGACTCTGGCTTGATTATGTCACTCAAATGGTTGTATATGTTAGCCTCCAGTATGGTGATGTGGGAGACGGCAATGTCTTCAAGAGAGAGATCCTAGTGGGAGTCCCCTAGGTGAACTCAGAGAGCAAAGGACTGTGGTCTTTCTATTGTTTCCTGATTTCAAGATGTGATCTTTTTCCTCTTATATGTACTCCTACCATGTGGTCCCTGCACTTGAACTAATTACCACAGTCAAGGCAACGCTGGTGCCTTTTCTTTGCACTTCTAGAACTCTGGGCTAAATAGACCAGCTCCCTATGTGACTATTCTGTCCTGAGTACTTAATTCAGTTAAGGCACACTTGGCTGAAACCAGACATGCTCTTTGCCTTTACTATAATCATGTTTGGAAATTGTAGTAAATTTCGAGAAATATTTCCAGAGCTTTTTAGCCCTCCTTGCTGTTGAATCATTTGATTTTATATTGACAGCATGGTGTTCCACCAATCTTAAATTAGAATATACTAAGCACAGACCCCATTGAAACTAAAAATATGAGTGAGTTATAATCATGTAATCCCATTTAAATAAGATTGAATGAGCAGACATTAAAAAAATACCCTTTATAGAAAAGAAATCACGTATTACTTTGTGGTAGAATTTCTGTTCCATCTTTTTCTACATAGAAATTATCCAGTATTTTCTTTATTTTCAAGTTCTAGACACGTTTAAAGAGTACGGATCAGCCATTTGAGAAATTTCTCAAAATTTGGGTTTGTTTGGTACTCCATTTAGCTTTCTGTTGTTGCTACAACCAAATATGTGACAAGAACAGTTTAAGGCAGGAAGAGTTGAATTTACTTTAGAGTTCAAGAGGATTTCATCCACTGAGGCAGTGAAGGCATGGCAGAAAAATTGTGAAGCATCTAGGCAGCTTTTGTACACAGTCAGGAAGCAGGGAGCATGTAGAAGCAGGACTAGGCAGGCTAACAAACTTCATGACCCGCCCCCAGTGATTCATATCTTTCAACAAGTCTCTAAGTCCTAAAGTTTCTCCAACACAGTGGCACTGGTCAGAGACCAAGTTCTCCTACGCGTGAGTCTATGTGGGTGGAAGAGGCATTTCACATTCAAACAACATCTTTCTCCTGTCCCCCACCCCCGATAGTCTCATGAAAAAAAAAAAACCCTTATAAGCAACAACTTAAGGAAGGGTGGTCTCACCCTTTGAGGGCAGACTGCCCATCATGGCAAAGATGACGTATCATGAGGAGTGTGAGGTGGCTATTCACTCTGCGTCCACACCCAGGGAGCAGAGACTGGGCAGGAAGTGGGGACAGGCAATCAGACCTCAACACCCCTCCCCAGTGACTTACTTCCTCCAAGCCTCCACAACCTTCCAAAATAGCTTCTCCAGCTGAAGACCGAGTATTCAGTGTATAAATGCAGGAACTTATGAGGACGTTTCAAGTAAGACCTCATCACCTGACAACTCCTCTCATCAATTTCTCTTCTTGTGTCCTTAGTAAATGTCATCAGGTAGAATTTAATTTGACTAAATTTAATTGATTTGGTGATGTTGACCGCAATTGGATTCATACCAGACTTCTCTACTATTAAACTCTTACATTGTATTGTATTGTTGTTGTTATTGATATTTTTATTAAACAAGTCTTTTAGGAGTAGCTACTTTGAACTTTCATAAACATTCTAAGAGTGGGTAAAGTTATAATCTATTCATGAATTTGATATTCCTGTTGTGAAAACACATGGTTTTCTGTGTCATTCAATGTGTGCTAGCTTATTATTCTCACGAGATCTTTAGTGTTGCTAAATATATCCAAACTGAGCAACTTCATTGCTTTCTGAGGCAACAAATATTTCAGGCTTATGTCATGTTTTCTCTGATCGAGCCCCATAATTAGTAACTGCTTAAAGGAGCCTTGCTTCATATCCATAGAGAAGAAGGTTCCACACTGAAGATCTGTCTGCACTTAGACAGAGACGTGATGTATCAACAGAACTGGCACATATCTGTATATTTGCATGGGTAATATACAACTGCAGAGATAGAATTAAAGGTTTATTTACTTTGCTTTCTGGACAGATTGCTACCATTCTTCCTCAAGAAGAAGAACCCGATGCCCATCATTTTGATATTTACTTGCTTGCTGTAAGCCGCCTCCCATCATCCTGACGACCCTCCCCTTCTTTGGGACCTCTCTGGTCCAGCTTAGCTACCCTACACCAAACTGCAGGGCACATGTGAAGATTTTATTCTAAGATGATAACTGAGTCAATTAAATGAACCCTACCTAACACTTCCTTCTTGCTCTAACCACCAACTCGCCAAAGAGATCTGCCTACATTCGCTCTTCAGGCAGGCTCTCAAGGCACGCCTATGAGCTTTATGCAGAGTTTAATTAATCAACCAGCGTGGGGGCTGGCAAAGGCGGGGGGTTTTCTTTCCTTTTCTTTTGTATTTTTATATCCTTCTTATAAAAACAAAAAGTTTTCTGAAGACTTGTTGCTACCTCAAACAGATATTTGACTTTTTCACACAATTCTCCTTCAGTTAGAGAAATAATATGTTTCTCTGGCATCTGAAAATGTGGCAAATCATATGGACTAATGTTCAAATGCCAAGCAAATCTTGCCTTCCCGGACTGAGTCAATTTAAGCACGATGTCCTGTTCTTTGTGTTGGTGATGTGTTTAGCTGACTCATATTTATTTTTATTTTTATTTATTTATTTATTTAGCACTCCAACCACAGTTTTCCATTCCACCCCTCCTCATACCCCTCTAGCCTCTCCGCCAGTCTACCCTCCCCCCTCAAACTATTCCTTTCAACTAGTAAGGGCTCCTAATGGGAGCCAATAAAGTCTGGCACATTAAGTTGGGGCAGGACCAAACCCCTCCTGCCTGCATTAAGGCTGAGCATGGCATTCCACCATAGGGATATGCCCCAGGGATAGATCTGGTCCTACTTTCAATTAAGAGTTTTACATCCCTATTAATACGAAAGCTTTAGCGGCTTATTTGGCCTTAAAATTTGTCACTGACCTTGGCTAGGGATCCAGATCCACTACTTCATCTTCCAAACCCTGGTATTCTGTTATCCACATGATCTGTCCTATTGATGAGGCTTCCCCTGAGTTTTTCATTTGACTGATTAGGTCCTTTCATTCCCAGTATCACTTCAGATTGACTTTTCTTGGGTATTTCTATCTCTTTTATGAATTCTATTTTCATATCCTGAGTTGACGTTTGTATTTCATGCAGATGTTTGTGCTTTCTTGACTACGTTCCCTTGTTCTTTGTACTCGCTAAATGTGTTTATGGTCATTTGTTTGCATTGTTTGCTCTTACGCTGGAGCTGGTATATTTTGGAAGAGAGACACGCTGTCTTATTTTCTCATTCCACTTTTGTTTCTGTGTCAGGACTAATACACATGAAGTTTGTTGGTTGACTAATTATTTGTTTGTATTTTTGTCTGTTTATGAAAGTCACCTTCTTTTCTTTGGTGTGAGTTGGTCCAGCTTGTGCCCTCCGTGGGATGCTGTGATGTCTCCTATTCTTGGAGCTGGCCTTTATGTCAGTTTGCACAAGGAAACTGGTGTGCTTAGTAAGTCAGTCCAATTAAGCCTATCTTGGTGTGAAGACAGAATTCTGAATTCCAGAGCCCAACTTTGCATATAATTTGTCTTAGGTTCTTGGTTCTTGTTGATTGACTCTTTTTCCACTTGACAAAAACTAGAGTTACCTGAAAAGAATGAAGCACAGTTGAAGAAAGCACCTCTTAACACTGGCCTGTAACGAAGCTCTAAGGAAGAAGCCACTGAGCAGTGTTCTCCACAGCTTCAGTAACCGCCTCCAGGTTCCCACCTTGGGTTTCTGACCTGACTTCCTTCAGTGATGAACTGTGATGTGGAAGTATAAGGAAAAAAACTGCACCTCTACTGCTGAGCAGGTCTGTGCATGTCTGACCACACAGCTACATGACAGCAGCTGCACCTCTACTGCCCAGCACTCGCCCAAAGTTTACTTCATCCCAGGCTGCTATAATGCACATCCTGATTGGTTTCTTAAAGAAACAATTTCAAGCTATAGTTTTTATTTTCATCCAAAACCATTTTTATTCAGCTGATAATTCTATTCTTTTTAATTTGAATATTTTTACTTTACTTTTGTGTTTAGATTTAAATCTACCATTTTGTCATCCATTTCCGTTCGTTGCTCCATCGTTGTTCTTTTTTAAAAAAAATAAAATAAAGGGTTCTTTATTTAGGGGTACACTCACAGATGTACAGCCCTCTGCATGAGTGGGGAACAGGAACCAAATCTAGCAAGAGAGAGAGAGAAAGAGAGAGAGAGCACACGTTTCTATATCTTGTTTTTATAGTACCCCAAGACCACACCCAAAGTGGTCCAGCCATTGGCTGAAGGAATTCCCCCAGCACCTCCCCGCTTTGTCTAAATAGGAGAGTTCCAACTCAATACAAAACTAACTACAATAAAAACAGAAATCAAGTATAAAAATTAGAACTATAACCAGCATAAACAACATTAAGCAAGTCTTGCTTAATATTTTCCATCTCTGTTCTTAAACCACCCCCATTCTTCTCATTTTGTCCTAAATCAACTTTAAAAATATTCTGTAATGTGATGGTGATAGCTTCCTATTTTTCTCTTATCTGTTACCTTGCATATTGCAACATTCTCCTTTGATTTTTTTTCTTTACTGTTGTAGAGTGAATTCAGGGCTTCACAATACTAGGCAAGTGTCTATCACTGAACAATCCTCAGCGGTTCTTTTGCTTTTTTTACTTTGGAAACAGAGTCTCACGAAGTTGTCAAAGTTTACCTTAATCTAAGTCAGTAGCCCAAGTTGACAGTGCATGCGTGATATTCCTGCCTTACTTCTTGAATCTCTGGAATCATAGGCCTTCCTCCTACATCTAGTTCTTTTCCGTATTATTATTTTATTATTTAATAAGCATATTAAATTTTCTGCCCTATTTTTTGTTTCATTGGCTTCATATTTGGAAAAGAAAGTCTTTTAATGAAACTTACATAATTTTTAGATAATTGTACATCTATGTAGAATCATAAAAATAGAGATCATATATTACACCTTCCTGTTTTTGCTTATGATGTTATCTCACAAAATCATAGCAACAGAATCATAACTGTGGTATGGGCATTAATGTCATCCCTTGTGCTGGTTAGTTTTATGCCAACCAGACATGAGCTATAGTCATCAGGGAGGAGGGAGCCTCAACTGGGGAAATGGGTCCGTAAGATTGGACTGTAGGCAAGCCTATAGGGCATTTTGTAGCTAGTGATTGGTGGGGGAGGTCAAGTCTATTGTAGATAGGGCCATCCCTGGGCTGGCAGTCAGTCTGAGAAAGCCATGGGAAGCAATCCTGTAAGCATCAGTCCTCCATGGCCTCTTCATCAGCTCCTGCCTTCGGGTTCCTGCCCTGTTTTGCGTTCCTGTCTTGACTTCCTCCATTGACAAACAATGATGTGGAGGTGTTAGCCAAAGAGATCCCTTCCTAGGTTGCTTTTGGTGTTTCATCACAGCAATAATGATCCTAAGACACCCATCAAGTTAATGCACATCTCCCCATTTTTACTTATGAGTGTGTGTGTGTGTGTGTATCTATTTTCTATCGATTTTATGATGTGCATGTGTCTGCACCTACTGCATAAGCAAGTTCTGTTAACACCATAACACCCCATGTGAGCTTTGATACCTCTTTTTGCCCCATCCTGTTGAACAGCAACAACTCCTTCCTAACGCCTCATCACTAGTCTCCGTTGCTCGACGTTTTCATCCTATTTTTATGGCATTCAGGTGTGTATCTTTGTATTATCTTCTTTGTTGTGACTCCAAGCATTACGACAGACACCAGAGACTTATTATACTGTCTATCGACAACAAGCCTATCATTTGAATGTGTTGGTGTCTTAGTATTTGCTGTCAGTATCCACGCTGCTGGCTCATTTAGTTTGGAAAGCTTTTAGTGTATTTTCACAGAACTTCTATTATGCAGACACCATTCCAAAAATATTTCAACAGCAATTTGAAAACTGTATAGTACTAATTTTAACCATTAACAAATAAAATCTCCATCTTGAAAACCTATAATATAGTAAAGTTTATATTTTTTCCGGGGCTATGTATATATATGGTATATTATTTATATTGTTGCCTATTCCTTCTGTAGCTTCATATAACTGTAAAAAAGGATATTAGTTTTCAGCTAGTTTATGAATTACTTTTACTGTTCTAGACTATGGAAAGGTACAGGTGTCGCAAAAGTGACACATGAACCTTCACACTTACTTGTGCACCCAGAGAAGTCATAGTAGATGAATCCTGGGACTTGCCACTATCAATCACAGCAGTCTTCCTCTGCGAGACAGGCATGGCCTCCAGGTCCTTCGCCGTACTTCTTTCTAGGCAGATCAAACTTCACAGAAGAATTCGAGATAAAAATTGGTTTCTCTCTCTGCCATAATGGCAATTACTTAGATGAGTTATTAAGTTTTTTGACTTTCCTGTTTCAGAAGTAAAATTAACATCAACATTCAATTCAAAGCCAATTTTAAATAAATTAAATTGGGTTTTCGCCATTGGTCTTTTAACACCTGTTTGTTTCGGCGCGAGTCCATCGCTATGTATCGATATATACATATGCTACATATGCATACATATGCATACATGCATATGCTATGTATCGCACGCTGGCCTCTCACGCATGCTCTCCCTGCCTAGAATCCCAAGTGCTAGTACCACACCCACCTTTGATTTAACTTGTTGGTTTTTACTCCTTTCTTAGTCAGCTGAAACAAATTTGCACCATCTTTAACGATTTGGGTGAGCGACATAGTCTCTGAGTCTCCAGGAAACGTCTCCTCATCATCTGCCAATCGCCAGCAGATCACATTCTGGGTGGATTTTGCACTGAACGTCCATTTCTACTGCTTTTCCACACGTTCTACTACACGACACAGTTGTGAAGTGGTGGTAGCTACACATTTGTGAGTAACCGGTTTATTTATGTTTTCCCTTCAATGTGTGTTGCTACCGCTGTCATAGGAACCAAAAATGCTTCACAGTACGATTGGTGCATTTCCTTAGTTTTTAAATTTTCCTAAATCTCAAGACACTCTTATACTAGATGTATTAATTTATTTTCTAATATGACTATCAAGTGTTTGAGGGGGGACATTGTCTGCAGAAAAGCTTAATTTGCAGTTAGAAATGCTTGAAAGCATGGTGCAAACTTCAGCTTGGTTCTCGACAGCTTCTAGCAGGAAGCATTCTCTTTAAAGGGTCAGTTAATAAAGCATGAGGGGTTCTGAGCCGCAGGATCTAAGAGCAATTCGCAATTCCTGCAGGAGAGGACAAGATGTATGCTACAAATATTTAAATTTATTCACTCTGTGTGTGTGTGTGTGTGTGTGTGTGTGTGTGTGTGTTCTCACATCACAACACATGTAGTTAGAGAACAGTTTGAAGAAATTGGTTTTTTCCTTCTACAACATGGCTTTCTGCAGTGGAACTCGGGTCCTCAGGCTTAGTGACAGACGCCCTACCAACTTTGCCACCTCCCTGGCCTCCAAGTTTTTCTTTATGCACCCTGAACTTTCAATCACCTGCACTTTCTCTGTACTGGAAAATATTATTGTCGGTGAGCCAACTTGATCCGCGAGCTATAATTTGTTCAGAGTCATGTACATGATAGAGACAAAGATGGAAATAAGCTATAAGCATTAAATCCCCATGAAGAAGGTATTGTGTGCTTTCAGTTCTTCATGAAGAAGGTATTGCCAAACCAGTTCATACACAAGGTAGCATAAGTGTAGGCATCCCATAGAAGCTTAGAATGGAACGGGGAAAGTAGCCACTTCAAGAGTGAAAACGTACAGACCTGCAAGTAAATCCCAGAGAGAAAGAACTCAAGACGGAATCTGACATGGTAAAATTTCATCATAGAACTACCCAATCCACTTCTTTGTTTAACCCTCATAGAGCCCTTCAGTTTAGCAGTATTGAAACTAAGACTTGGAGAAATTAAGTCACAGGTCAAGATCCAAGAAATACCAAGTGACGAAAGCAGAGACACAGGAAATCTGTGTCTCGAAGCTCCATGTTTTCGCTCCATGTTTTCTAATTGAAGTAAAAACACTCTCTTATTGGACATGATGGCATTCTCTACCGCCATAGCCTCTGACCTTAAAATTCTCAGTATTAGTTATAGGAAGCCCAATCACCTCTCAGGGAGGCCTGAGTCTTGACTTTGGCATCTCCTGCAGGACATAAATATATACCATGCCATGTGCATGCAGGGAAGAGGGTGTTGGAATCCCTGGAGCTGAAGGTATGGCTGATTGTAAACTGAACTCCAGGCCTCAGTAAGAGTAGCAAGTTTTCTTGCCCACTGAGTCATCTCTCCAGCCCTCTACAAGACTTTATATCTGTCACTCATTGTATCTGAGTATCTATTTCCTTGAAAGGGAAGAGCAATCTTGACACCATTATTTATTTTGCAAGCAAAAAAAAAAAAAAAAAGGAATGAGGATGTTGGATGAATACAAAACATTTTACAGCTCAATGGTTGGAGTTGGAGAGATGGCACAGCAGCTAAGGTCCACACTGCTCAGTTATGAGAACAAGAGTTCAGATTCTAGCATTGATGTCAGGCAGCTCACAAACACTTGTAACTCCAACTCCAAGGGCTCCAACTCTTTCCTCTGGCTTCAGGGGACACACGCCCCCACACATTTGCACAAATACATATATACATGCATATGCACACAGATATTAAATGAAATAGGTCTTTTGAAAAGTTGAACACAGGGTCTAGATGCTTTACCATTGAGCTATATTCCAGGCCCAGTGTTTAGAATTTATGTTTTCTTTCTTGGCTTTGATTCTGAGAAATGGGCATAGAGCTATGAGTCAGTCACTGTGCCTTCAAAGCCTGTGGAACTTTGTTGACTTGTGCTGCGTGCCTGGATGCAGTTCGGGTAACTGTGCCACCTTGGTGTGGGAGAGATCTGTATCTGTGGGTATTCAGATAGCTAGAACACCCTGTTCTGGGTGAAGACAACCTTTCACTGATCGGATTTTGATCCCTCCACACCCACACATACACCGTGACTCCCGCAGGACAGTATTCGTTCCTGGACCTAAACAGGAAGTCAGAGTCCTGACTACCCTTCCTTAAATCATAGCAATGTACGTGGCAATTGTTTTTGTTCCTTTAAGAAAAGAGTTGCCTCATCACTTTCTTTGGTTTGGAGTCTAGTGATCCTCAGAACATTTCATCTTTTAGGTTAACGTCAGGACAAACGTCAGGAAAGTCGGATGCCTCCTGGAAACATCAAGGTTTCTGTGCCCATTTGGGTAGAAAATAATGTGATTAGATTTTATTGTTTGATTTCCAAGCCTTCCAGAATTTAGTGGGGACAACAGTTGCAGGGGTCACAGAAGAAAAGTGACTGGTACTGACTTGTGACGGTGGCAAGTGGAGAGAATCAGACAGAGGTGTTGAGGGACAATGACATCCTTCTGTTCCTTGATAAAGCCTGCCTAGCAGACACCATCACCCACTAGATCCCAGCAGTAGTGGGACTGAAGGCACCTAGCGAACTCAAAAATCTCACTGCACCTTCTTTGGAGGTGGATAGTAGTACAACAGCCAGCTCAGATCTTCTGTTCTGTGCTCAAGTGCCACACCAGACATGAGTGAAGAGACTCCATTTCACAAGGGGACCCACAGGCTAACACTTACTGCCTGGAACATCATAAACATTGGAATGCCAGTTCTTACCCATTTCTACTCTCTTTCCACCTAGAAGACGTGTTCTGGTGATGAAATATAATATCGGTTATGCATATTAGCGGAACACATGGTGAAGAACTAAGGGACGATCAACAAGTTTCTCCTCGGAGCCATGGTTTGGAGCCTGTACCCCAAGTTGGCACTGATGACTGGAAGATGACCATGTAGACAAGGGAGGCTGTGGTTCTTCCACGTGAAAATAGATCCCTAGAACTTGTTGGACCAAATTTGCTTTTCTGTCAGCTAACTGACTTTTTTTTTTCTGGATATTTCCAATAACAGTGATTATTCCTGAATGAAACTCAGTGAGTCAAAAGCAAGTCAGGGGGTCAGAGACAGGGTCCTTCACCTTGCCTAGAGTTGGGGAGCCAATGTATAATCACTGAATTCCATTCTCATTTGGTAGCGCCAAACTTGCTGGACAAATAAAAACTGCACTTAACTAGAAACCTACACCTTCCAACGTGGTGTGGCAGAGTGTCCCCTGGGCAGGTGAGCTTGGAGTTAAACTAACAGGTCACTAAGTAGTTGCCACTCCTAGATGCCTCAGCATAGTAGGCCTGATTGTTTTCAGTATGAAAATTCAGTGAGAAACATTACCTTGCCACTGAATTGTGCATGGTAACCTTCATATTTATCATGTCTCCTTATTTTAAACACCTGTGAAATCAGAAATCATCTCTACTTTATCAACCTAATTTGTAGAACACAGGACATAACATGAATGATACGGGGCTTCCTTCCCAGCTAAGAGAAGGAACAAAACTATGATACAATGTGGGGTTTACTGAGAGTTAAAACCTTGTATATCAAGAATGTTCCCAAGACAAAACCCTTACCTCTTTTTTATATATGCCCCTTTCTTCAGAGCTTAGCATCTAGCCCTTTAGCATATCAAGACTTCAGGAAATACCTATCAAATGAAAGAAATTACAAAATGTCAAGTATGTGTTGAATATATACCAGATATCAAACTGAAAAGGAAATCCATATAAGTCAAGTTCACCAGAGGTTCTTTGAGGATAAAATGTAACTGAGAAGAAATTATATACAGAAAGCTAAAGAGCGCTGAGCAAGCTGAAGTTGAATATGCAGTACATAGGGAGTTAAGGCAGATGAAGGTAATGAAATGACCCCAGAGGAGTGGGCAAGCCTTTGGGGACTCAGAGACGGCAACCGGTCTCACAGGAAGGACTGTAAAGAGCGAATTATGTGGGGAAGGAAAATGACACATCTCCCTGTGTTTGCTGCACATCTGAGCCTCACCTTTTCCAGTAGTGATCTACGAGCGAGGAGGAAAGTGCCAACATTGTAAATAACACAGTCAGAATTTGAATCAAAAGTTGACTCCCCCCAAAATACGTTTCCATTCTCCGTGGGAATCCCACCTACCTGAAAATATGAGGAACGTGTGAAATGAAGAGTGAACTCTTGTGAAGAACAGACACCATTCCAGGTGGATTGCTGTTTGACACAGAAGTTCAAATGGTGTGATTTGCCCAGGCAAGCAGGGCTAGACACACAGCTGGGACACTCCCAGAATCACCTCTACACTAGGAACTGTGCTCTGCACCTAGAAAGCGGAACCTTTAAGGGATATTAACGGGGAATCAGTATTCTAGGAGAACTGGATAGGCTCTCATGTAAGAGAATGAGGAAGGAGTCAGATAAACGAAGGAAAGCCATTTGGAGGGCTCAGAGAAATGGTGCTGAGACCCTGGCTACCAGAGCTAGCCGAGCAAGCATTCTCTTCTTCACTGGTTCTCTTTCTTATTCTCAAATAGCTCTTAAGAACTATATCAAAGGAACTACTTAGATATGATCATTTTTCTCCTAGTATCTAAATTCTAGCGGGAGTGATGAACAATTAAGAAAGAAATAATATCAAAGTTGTAGCTGACCAACATAGTTCCTGTAAGAGAATCCTGGATAACGGGGCCAGGAATGTTAGGTGGGGTGGCCGGTGACAAGCACGAGCTGAGTGAACAGGAACGAGGTGTCTTCAAGGACATTTATTAATGAATGAGTGGCAAGCACAGGCCATTTGGGATGGATGAAAGCCTATGGGTTCAGGTAAAGCGAACACCCAGGCCCAGAAGTACTAGCGTGCAGCAGAAGGCGGAGTTACACTAGGGAGATGCTACAAAGAGGGGCCTGTGAGACTACAGGAAGCAGAACAATGGCAATAGAGCTATACCTATGATTTCTGCCACTGGGCCTGGTCAGTCTTTGAACATGGGGAGTACAGGAGTGATCCAGGAGATTCCAGATTTGACAGCCTCTAGGAATAGCAAGAAGTGGAGGGGCTCTGTGTGTAAATATGTGAGTATGTAGATGGTTGTATGTGTGAGTGTGTATGTGTGTGTGTGTAGATGGGTGTATGTGTGTATGTGTGCGTGTGTATGT